GGATTTCAGAGTCCAGGTGTAGATGGGAACTGATGGAGCCTCCAGCGAGGCAGGAAAAGTGCACGGAAGAAGAAAATTTTATCTGAAGCCTAATTCCCTGGTTACAGCAGAGAATAATTAAGATAATATTGCTTCAAGAGTCCTTTAATGATTAAAAATCACATATGCAGAATCCATAAATTGGAGGGGGGCAACAAATTGCAAGGCCACAATGCCAGAGAGCTGTTTTGTGCACATTGTCATGGAAAGTGTGTTGGTGGCAGAACGCTGTACAGGAGCCACCAGAGACTGGGACCATTCCAAGGACTTTGTTTAGATGCAACAAATCATTTGTCTGTTATTAACCCAGAGCTTGTAATTATGCAGATTGCCATAGATTTTCCTGGGCTTGGAAGTGAGATTGAGGGTTGCTCACAGTATAGCAGGCAGCTCAGGGCTGGCCATGCATTACTGAACTTGCCACATTTATCATGTTGACTGATGGCAGCAGAAGCAGGTCTCAGGTCCCAGTGGTTAATGTAGTGGGTAATTAACTGTCATTTGCCTAGTAATAGGCTGATGATCAATGGTTTGTGTGGAAACAAATTCTAATCAGGTAGCTGATAAATGCTCAGCTAGCAAGAGCAATTGAAATTGGGGGAAACTATGTCCAGAATTTCAAAATGGCATTGTGTGTGTGTGTGTGTGGTGTTTATTAGGTGTGAGCAATACTGAGTAATTCTTAATGCCCTTATCTCATATTAGTGAGATTTTATATGCAAAAATATAGCAATATGCTTTGAATAAGGGCCCTTTGAGTTTCTTTATTTCTTAAAAATACAAGGGGACAGAAGCCACAAATGACTCAAGTAAGTGATGTGTGACCTCTGTATAGATGGTATGAAGTGGACTCCGAGGTAAGGGTGCCATGACTCAAGAAACGACAACACTTCTGCCCAGAAAAGAAGAAAGCCAGGCATGGTGGTGGACAACTGTGATCCCAGCACTCAGGAGTCTGGGGCCTGATGACTGAGAGTTCAAGACCAGCCTGAGCCTCATAATGAAATATGTCCTGCAAAAGAAGAGAGCAAAAAACCAAAGGGAAAAAGATCAAGGCTTTGGTTTGTGCTGGTTTCATTTTCAGTGATTCTGGGAGTAGATCCACAACATTGCATTGTTCCATGAAGTCCCTTTTAAAGGAAGCCTATATAGAAGATATGAATTGCAAACTGAGACTATAAAGATTATTTAAATTACTTTATATAACCCAGGCTGGCCTTGAGCTTACTATGTAGTTGAGGCTTACCTCCTGATCCCCCTGCCTCTGCCTTCTAAGAATGTTGGAAATAAAGGTGTGTGCATCCAGTAAGATGAGCATATAAAATTTTAAGCAATATTTCAGGAAGGTAAGTATTTTATGCGTCTTGAATTTAACCTTGTTGCAAAGCCTGCTAGCTTCTGTAACTGGTGCCCAGGAAATTCCAGGGAGCCATTTAGGAGGTATTTGCTTTTTATCCTCAAGAGGCCTGTAGTTTTGAAGAAACAACCTCACAAAAACAGGAGCATGGAGATCTGTGCCACATTTTGTCAGACTCTTGGGCATTGCTGTGACAACCCTGTCCACGGATCATTATTAGTTCCATAACAGGAAATGGTTATAGATTGAAAAATGAATATGCTCACCTTAAGCGAGGACCTTTGGAGTTTAGAGAGAGAAATGAGATTCAGGCATGTTTGTGCATAATCCTAAAATTCACTAACATGAAAGGCTACGACTTTTGGAAAGTGCTTTTTTTTATGACCAAAACAAGCTTTCTCCATAACACCTTTGAATTCATTAGTTTCGAACTGCTTTTAATTTTGTCTTTCCCATGAGAACCATTATATTTTTTCTCCCGTCAGCCTGATGCTGGAGAAAGAAGAAAGCTGGCAGATGGGCTGTTTTTCTCTGAGCTCATTCCCTGGTTTTAAAAAATGCCTTAACCACTGTGCACAAAATATTATTCGTGATAGCTTCTCATTGCCATTAACAACTTTAAAGAAACTTGCTTAAATACGGCCAATGCAGATAGAAAAAAAAATCTACTTCATCGCTTGTACTATGTTAAAAACCCTCTGGTACTGTTTTCCAAGTCATCCCAATAACAATTTCTAGGAATCTTCAGCAAATAAGATATATATGCGTACATATACGCATGTGTGTGCATTTTCTCACATTATTCTGATAGTGTATTTTGACAGCTCCAGATCTGGCTATGTATAGCTCATAGCCTCATTTGCTGTAATGTGTTACCTGAAGTACATAATCACCGCTGTAACTGCGCCATAGGGCCGGCTCGTGCACGTACCTCCGTATGTTAGAATCACTTAAATGGCTTGTTCATAGGTGCTCTTTAATGTCACTGGCAAGTCTTTTAGTAATTAGATGTCAAAGAGGAGTGCGTCAGATACATGGGGTTCTTTTTCACTAAAATGCTACTATGTAACATTAAGGTTTGATCATACTGCTTTTATATTGATACTCTAGCAAGCGTTTTTTTAAGTGAATTCGCCACATTGACTGCTGTTTGTTTGCAGATGTATAAGCATCCTAATGTGTTTGTCTTTTCCTTTACTCTTAAAATGGTACATAATTTTCATCTGGAGAGGTCAAAGGAGGATATATTTCAGAAAAAATATGTATACAGCTCAGGCAAAACTCGTTTATGAACATCATAAGGCATTGTGTATGAATCCCTTCAAAGCATGGATTAGCAGTTTCTCAGTTTGCAAACCCAGGTTGCCTTAAGTTTAAAAAGAAAATGTTTATTGTTCTAGGCTGTTTGGTGTAACGGGAAACTGTGCTGCGTGTAGCAAGCTCATCCCTGCCTTTGAGATGGTGATGCGTGCCAAGGATAATGTGTACCACCTGGACTGCTTTGCCTGTCAGCTTTGCAACCAGAGGTGAGGACATTTAGTACATTTAATTTGACCTCCCAAATGATGCCACTCAGTAGGCTGAGTATAGATTTAATAGGTGGGCATGATCACAGTCCACTTTGTTAGACTAATTGATCTCAGCATTCTGGGGTTCTGCAAATGTGTGCCCAACACCAGAAACAAACCTCTGCAAAAGAAGTTCTTTAGCCTAGCTTCAGAAGACAGTGTTCTGTGAGAACAACTGCACACAGAAATACTTCTACTGACTTCAAAGCCAGCATTCATTCCTATTATTGTTTTGCTATCTTTTAATATGGTGGTCTAAAATGCCTTTGCTTAGGGGGCAGTGACATGGTTGGTGAGCAAAACATTTCCTCACGAGTGTGAAGATCTGGGTTCAGGAGCCTTGCCCAGATGGACAGCTTAGAACTTTGCTTATTTCTCTCATTTAGCCCTTCTATAGCAAATGGATGTAGGTGGTTGGGGGAGATGGAAGAACCCCCAGAGCTATGGAACCAACTAACCTGGAACACCCAGCAAATAAGCATCCATCACAAAATAGAGGGTAAAGAAGGACACCAGAATCTGCCCTCTGACTTCTATACGTGCACTGTGGCAGGCACATTTGCGCGCATGCATGTGCATGCACACACACACACACACACATACCACACCTCAACCTTTTTTTGTTATGTGATTCTTTTAGAGGCAAAGAATTGGTAACAAGAAGAAGTTTGTTTTTATTACTTCCCCATCTCTTGGTTTCTTCTCTGGAACCCTAAGCGTGGTCTCTACACACTCTTATCTACCTCCAATATCCTTGAGGGGGAAACCAAATGAAGCTAATAATTAAACAATTACCAGCATTGGAAAGACAACAAAAGAAAGAATACTGCACAAAGGTTTAGAAAGCTAAGTTGTAGTTTGGGCCCTGCTACAAACTGGCTGTGCACTCTTAAGCTAATTGCATCATCTCTCCGAATCCAGTTTCCTCATTTGTAACACATGATTAACCAATTTCAAAACTCTTTCCAGCTAAAAGTATAATAACTCCTTCACTTTTTTGTTGAAATAGGAGCGGCGGGGCTGCGTCCCCAACACCCCGGCCGCTTGGCTAGCTCATGCCCGAAATAACAACACACAAACTGTATTCATTTAAGAACTGCTTGGCCCATGAACTCTAGCCCTTACAGGCTAATTCTCGCACCTGGACTAGCCCATTTCTAATAATGCGTGTAAGCACCCCAAGGTGCGCTTACCGGGAAGATTCTAGCCTCCATCCATCATGGTGTCTCTGCTCCACGCGTCTGCCTCAGAGCGCAGACCTGTTGAGTCTCTGGGAGCAGAGCAGAGTCTGAACTCACTTCCTCTTCCGCCCAGAATTCTATTCTGTTTATTCCGCCCACCTATCTTTTAACCTATCAGGGCCAGCAGTTTCTTTATTGCTCAGCCAATGAAATCAACAGATTGATATGACACTCCCACATCACTTTTTCTTTGCTGAAAATTATACTCTCCATTGGGTATTATTCTGTGGCTACAACCTGTTTTCCACAGGTAATGGCAAGTTTAGAATACTGTAGATATGCCTACCAGGGTCAGGCATGCTGGTGCTCACAGTTAATCTCAGTATATTGGAGGTACTGGAATGCAGATTTCTTTAAATTCAAGATGAGTCTGGTCTAATTGTCATGTTTAAAGACAACTGAAATTACATAGTGAAACCCTCAAACAGCAAACAAACAAACACAAAAACAAGAAAACTGTGCATATCAAAACTAGAGGTATTCAAATTGTAAGACCCTTGCTGGAGTTTCGAGAATATCTAGTATCTGTAAGAAAATGTCCACAGAGTGTGTCATCAATAAATTTTGCTTTAAATTCTCATTTTATGTAACTTTCTTGTAGTGATAAGAACGGCGGGTCTGTATCCCCGGCACCCAGCCACCTGCCCTGCTAGCTTATGCCCCGAAATAATTACACAGAAACTGTATTCTTTTAAACACTGCCTGGCCCATTAGTTCCAGCCTCTTATTGGCTAGCTCTTACATATTGATCTAGCCCATTTCTAATATTCTGTGTAGCACCACGAGCTGGCTTACCAGGAAAGATCTTAACCTGCGTCTGTCTGGAGTGGGAGAATCATGGCGACTGCCTGACTCAGCTTCTTTCTCCCAGCATTATGCTCTGTTTACTCCACCCACCTAAGGGTTGGCCAATCAAATGGGCCTAGGCAGTTTCTTTATTAATTAACCAATGAAAGCAACAGACAAATAACTATGACCCTCCTCCATCGTTTTCTCTGAAAAGTCCTGTTTTATTCAAAGTCTCTTCATGAGGCCCTATGAAATAATAAGATATGATGTCTATGTTGAAAACAGATTCAAATTCTGGCCCCATCATATATTCCATAAATTATTGGCTTTGTAATTTTTCAGTGTGTTATGTAACCTTTCAAAACTGCTACAGTTTTGTGTCAATAAAATAAAATCAGATATTTGCCTTACAAAGTCTAGAGGTTAAATAAAATAATTTTTACCAAGCATTGAATTCATTTTTAAAAGCTCATTCCTTATCTATAAATTTCCCTGTCCAAATTATACCCCAGTGTCCTAGTATTTCTATAAAATATATAACAAAATAGTGTTACTTGCCAAATTTAGATGTCGAGAATATTTCCTAATATAACTTATTGTTTTACCTAGACAATAACCCAGGAGCCATCTTGTGTCTTGATTCTCCCCAACAAATGTTTTATATCATCAAAGACATCAGTTTTAGGTGATACTTAGCCAATAATAAACTAAGAAGTTCACATGTTATCTTTTATAAAAATGTGGACACACACAAATATCCATGCATCCATCAAAACACAGTTCTTTGCACGTGAATATGTGCACACACATTTACCATTAGCCATAATGGTAAAATACCTATGTTCATGTGACAGGTTTATTCAGTGATGGCAGGAGCAATGAGAGCTGTCTTTAAGAAACCACCTTGTTAACTGTTCTACTTAAGAAAAGCTTTCAGCCGGGCGATGGTGGCGCACTCCTTTAATCCCAGCACTCAGGAGGCAGAGGCAGGCGGATCTCTGTGAGTTCGAGACCAGCCTGATCTACAGAGGTAGTTCCAGGAGAGGCTCCAAAAGCCACAGAGAAACCCTGTCTCGAAAAAAAAAAAACAATAAAAAAGAAAAGCTTTCATATTTTTAGAAAAAAAAATTAAAATGAGAAAGTACTCCAACCTTTACTATTCTAAAAAAAATTATATTCTAGCATATAGTCACTCATGATTTTTCTCTATGGATGTGTGACACATTATGCATAACTTCTATGTATTATACTGATATTTAGTCAGATTAAAAAATAGGAAGAGGACTCTTCCACATGATGGTAACTTCCTGTAATCTCATCACTCAGGAAGTGGAGGCAGGAAGATCCAGTTATATGTAAGCCTGCAGGATATGGTGTGACTGTTGTCTGTTAATGATGGAGGAGGGTCATCTTTCTATCTGTTGTTTCATTGGTTAAGTAATAAAGAAACTGCTTGGCCTCTGATAGGACGGAAAATTAGGTAGGCAGAGTAGACAGAACAGAATGCTGGGAGAAAGAAACTGAGTCAGGGCAGTCGCCATGGTTCTCCCACTCCAGACAGACGCAGGTTATGATCTTTCCTGGTAAGCCAGTTTGTGGTGCTACACAGAATATTAGAAATGGGTAAGATCAATATATAAGAGCTAGCCAATAAGAGGCTGGAACTAATGGGCCAGGCAGTGTTTAAAAGAATACAGTTTCCATGTAATTATTTTGGGTAAAGGTAGCCAGGTGGCGGGACGCAGCCTGCTGCTCTTATTACAACATGTGAATAGTAGTAGTCACAGTTGTCGTAGTAGTAAGAGAAATAAGTCTTGAAGGTGGGAAGGAGTTGGGAAGGTGGGGTGTGTCTGGGAGGAGTTAAAGAGATGAGTGTACTGACTATGATACAAATGCACAGAATGAGTTAATAAAATACCATGTTCATCGAGTTAACAGGGAAGGGTCTTAATGTATGGCCCTTGAACTCTTTCATTTAGTCTCAACTATTTATTTATCTTCATTCTGGCCATTAAAATTTTTTTTAACATATTTTACATTCCTTTTTATCATCAAGTATTAAGTCTACATTGTGTGGTCTGATGCTTTTGTCATTTCTATAGTCCATTTTATATCATCAATAAAGCAGACAAATATTCAAATCAGTGTCAGGGAAAGTTCACAGTAGTGTAATTAGTTAGTCAAAGAATACAATGATTTGAACGCTTAGAGTAAATATTGACCTTGATCTTGATAAAAAAATGATCTTGATAAAAGTTGTCCTATGTTTCCCACACCAAGTTTCCTCATGATCTCACATATTCACACTAACACCTGGAGCTTATTATTTAGAAAGAAATTCTTGTCACCTTCAGAGATAAAAGCTGTTACCTGATTATAATTTTTAATTGGTGTTTATTTGCTGACTTGTAGCTCTTCAAATTTTTCTACTCTGGGAACTGTTCATGCCCTATGTCCATTTGCCTACCAGGTCAGGCGTCCATATTTTATCTGCGTCCTGCACTGACAATGAAAGCATCGTTCAAGTGCTAAACTCAGCCTGAATCCCATTATGATACAAAGTAATTGAAGGTGGTTAATGCTGTTTACAAATCATAGATCAGTTTTATTTCATCATGGAAATAAAAAGTTACATTCACAATTAAGTCTGTCTGCTCAGTAGAACTCAGTCAAGTAAGACAAGCCCTCCTAAATTTTGACTCTAAAAATGGCTTGCATTCTTATGGTGGCGAAGCACTATCCCAACCTCATTACCAAAGCACCTAATACATTTCTATGTCCACTTCATTTATTACCTGCCGTAAAGTGGCTGCATATCTTTAGCACTGGCTATGCACAATTAGCAATCGGTGATTGTCTTGTTGCTGTGGTCCTTGCAAGACAAACTTCCTCGATGCAGAAAGTCAGCTCATCTTCATCAGTCAGGCAGTGCACACAGACGTGGTCACCCTGAATACAGATGGGTCTCAAAGTAGGAGATGCCCCTCTTCCACTGAATGTTGCTGTGGAGACATATCCAGTGTGGCCACGTCCAGACGAAGCCTTGTAAAGCCTTGTCACAACATTCAGTATGAAGACCAAAATGATTTCCAAATTTTTTTTCTGAAAAAAACGCAAGAATTTATTTCAAAATCTTTACATTTCAGGTAGCCTCAAAGGAAATTATTGCACACATATTTACATATTTTTCCCCACCGCCGCCTCCCCTTTCCCTTCCCCTCCCCCAATCAAGTCCCCCTCCCTCGTCATAATATTCCAAGGATTTCTTGATAATAGCAATAATAAATAAGGAAGCGTGTACTGGAGGAAACCCAGTGTCTTCTTCTGGCCTCCATATATATTTGTACATCAGTAAATGAACACCTCTGCACATATACAACATAATATATACGCACATGAACACATGTACATGCATGAATATCCATGTGCATACACCACACAGAGAGACAGAAAGCAGTAATGACAGTATGTGCAGGGCTATGTCTTTTCTAGCAAAACTTTAGGTCCTGTATTTTAACTACCAAAATATCTCCCTTTAAAAAGTAAGGAAACTGGGGAAGATCTTTCTGGAACTTATTTTATGATAATTTAATTTTCATTTGGAATTGAAAAAAAAATCTCTGAAAAGTTCCTCCACAGAAAACTAAATAATGATGTATCTAGTTTGTCCCTGTCCCTCCAGCAAACTACCAAATTTTGACACACAGATTTCTTATTAATTGTGAAAGCTCAGTTGATAGCTTAGGCTTGTTTCTAACTAATTCTTTTTAACTTAAATTAACCCGTATCTTATAACCTACCTTGTTTTTACATGACTTGGTTACCTTTACTTTGTAAAGCCCATGCTGCTTACTCTGTACCACACACACACACACACACACACACACACACACACACAGATTTTGGAATATATTAATTTGAAATGCAAATATAAATTAAATTTGTGTTTTTTAAGATTATACTTTGTTTCATTGATTTATACATACATACATACATACATACGTGTGTGTGTGTGTGTGTGTGTGTGTGAGAGAGAGAGAGAGAGAGAGAGAGAGAGAGAGAGAGAGAGAGAAGAAAGAGACTGCTCTTTCATATTCCGGCCACCCAGACCCAAATAATCACACAGAAACTATATTAATCACAACATTGTTCAGCTAATGTCTCAGGCATATTTGTAGCTAGCTCTTATATCTTGAATTAACCCATTTCTATTAATCTGTGTATTGCCACAAGGCTGTGGCTTACGAGATAGTTTCTGGGCCCTTCTCTTTCAGCAGCTACATGGCATCTCTTTGACTCGATCTACTCTCTCTCTCTCTCTCTCTCTCTCTCTCTCTCTCTCTCTCTCTCTCTCTCTCTGTTCTGATTTCCTGCCAGGCTTTACTCTGCTAAGCCACTGGGTGAAACAGCTTCTTTATTAACCAATGGTAATAAAACATATTTATAGTATACAAAGAGGAATCCAAATCACACATATTTAAGCATAACAATCTCATTTAATACCAAAAATGACCATTATGTAGATGATACTTTTAGCCTCTAGAGTAGGCAATAAAATTGGTGTCTCCTCATGGCTCTACCCTTCTTCTGAACATTCTTTCTGCCCCCCAAATCCTGCCTAGCTATTGGTCATTCAACCTTTTATTAAATCAATCAGAGTGACACATATTCACAGTGTCCAAAAAGATTATTCCATAATACAATGACCTTGGAACATAAGGGAATAAAACAGTCTGCTTGATATTTCCTTTTCCTTTCTTTGTGGTATTTAATTTAAGATACATTTTACATATATTAATTTTCTAGTATGTGTGCATGCTTATACCACGGTGCATGTTTAGAGGTCAGAAGATAACTTGTGGGAGTTGATTCTCTCCTCTCTTCTACCCTGAGGATTCTGAGAATCAAACTCAGGTTACAAGGCTTGGTGGCAAACACATTGACCCTTGGAGCCGATTTCTGGCTCAACATTTGCTTTCTATTTTAAGGGCTGAAGCAGTGCGAGGCCCTGTGGAAGCAGAGGTGAATAAAATCTAGTTTCTTTAACAAAC